ACAACATCTCCATCAGGGTCAAAGGCCATGGGTTTGTAGGTGCGTTTGCAGTTCTGAGGAACCCTTTAAGAGACAGAAGGATTATTTAATTACTGTATTATCTATTCTGGTGTCTTCATGCCTATTGTTGGTCCATCTTGAATTTCTTAGGAGACAAAGGAGCAAATAATAATCTAATCTAAATCTATAATACTTTAATAAAAATCACTTTTATTGATGTTCTTTTATTAAAGGTGCACTCTGTAACTTTTCAGCTGATTGGTCGGCCATCTGCTTAGCTCCATGGAGACGTTATTGTGTTGCCAAAAGTGTCCCATGGTAAAGTTTACTTACTTTTACTTTGAATGTAGTTTTTAAGCAGTAAATCTTCCATCTTTGCAGGATGTGGGATAAATTACTTTAATGCCTACTGTGGAACATTTTGACCAAAGCAATAATTTTAAAAAATCCCAATAAGAATGTGCTGTGTATTTATAGTAATACAGATCACCTCTGTGTCTTGGCGTCTGTGTAAAAACTCTTTTTATCCCTCTAAATTCCTGCCAACTGCCCATTATCATTTGTAAAGCTAAACAATGTTAATCTTTCACTTACCGCAGAAAAGGGAGAATGCCAATATCAGGAGAGTTGTTTGGCTTCTTAGTGTCTGATCTTTTGCCCAAATCCACAGAAGTCAGTACACTCCATGATGGAGATGTAGAATTGGGGTACTCATAGATCCAACAGCAGCTGAATTCCCTGCAAATACAATAATATTCACTAATCCAACATCTGTATTTATGGAAATGTCTGTTATCATAGACACAAATATCTACACAAATACAAAAAAATGGCCTACCTGGTTTGGAAAGGTTTATCACTGGGGAGGACCTTAGTGACAACTGTTTCTGTTTGACACCACGTGTTTGCATTTGGGGGCCCATTGTTACTCCTGTCAATTACACCCACGTCTACTTGGTCGTTGTACCCGCAGTTGTACCAGTTGCCATAACAACTTCCATATTGGTACCCACATGAACGGAATGTTGCCTTGTTCCTGAGTTCCACCTGCCAAAAACATTGAATATTTATTTCATGTTGAGTTCGATTATGTTCACTAAAGGATGGCAGTAGCTCTAGTAGTTCTGTAACTCATAAAGGTTGAGGTCATTGTATGTTTGGATGAGACAGTTTCTTGAGAGAACATGTTTGTGAGATTTCATGATTGGGTGGTCGTCATTGGAGTTGTGGAGTCAGACTGCAGTGACTGGATGTACCAGATAAAAGCAACTTTGAATATTAAGATAAGTGCCAAAAAGACCATGTTATAAAGGGCTGACTTGATCTCACAGATTACATGCTATGGTCTTATTTAAGATGTAGTACAGTTAGAAGTGTAGATACCTAAGATTGAACTGGATTGTGTTAGTAAATTATAATCTTAAAAAGTAGCCTTACCCCAATCCTCCCATTGCTGAGACTTTTGTATCTGTAGTTCACAAGCCCTCCAAAGAAGTGAGATGCAGAGGCCAGTGAGAGCCACAGCAGCGGCAGGACGACCAGTGTAGTGGAGAACATGATGCCCACAGCTCTCTGTTGCTCCTCTGTTGCTCCTCTGTCACTGTCTCCTCCTCAGCATCATTTATACCTTTCGCTGCCTTGGGATGTGTTATATCAAATCAATGGGTGAGCTGCAAAACTAGTCTAATGGAATGAAGGAAATAAACCTGGTTAATTATACAGTGAGTTTCATGTCAGTTCGTAATTAACGTGGACCGATGCTTAAAAGAGCCAAACAAATACATAGCGTACTTGGTAAGTGCCAAGTTTCACTGTGAAGCACATCCAGTAATACTTAATTAATACCATAATTAAGTGCAGTTAATAACACAAGACCTGTCAAAATAATTACCATATCATCTTATCGTTCAATATATGAAAGCAGGAACAATCTTTTTTTTTTTTTTAAGATGAATGCCATAAATGGTTGAATTCTGCTGTGTATTTATTGCTGCTCATGGTTTTTTGACAATATTGTAGAATTAGGATAGTTTTTGTGGTTTAAATCTGCTTTTGGGTTGTTGAGTGAGTGACATAAATTAGTTTCAATATTATCGTTTATCATATATGTTTACTTCAGCAGTCGAACTTCAAAGTTTGCAATTGTAAGCCTTTTTTTAACATGCCAAACTCTAAAAGGTCATTATGGCAAATAAGGAACATTCTTCACGTGAGAAATTCTGAAAAAATCATGTCTTTCAGCTGCCCTTTTGACCTATTGATTTTTAAAGAGTGCCAACCTTAATGCAAAGTAGTATGACCCATTTCCCTTCATTTCCTTAAATTACTAAACAGTTTCTTGCACCTGTGCCTTGTGCCAAAGTGATTTTACTCCCACAGAAGGCATTTTTTAATGACTTAGCATCTTCTAATTACTGGCACTTATGGTAATCTTTTTTTCTGTCTTTTGAGCAATGCTTGGATGACGATCAAAAATGCAGGTAGACTGTTTAGTTTCATTTATACAAAACCTGTTAGCCTTATGCAAGAATGGTTTACCCATTCTGAATGCACTTTTTTCAAGCCCTTCTCTTCTACTTTAATATTTATAAATCACTAAAGTTTTTAACACTGTACAAACAGGGACCATGATAAGGAAGAAATCTGGTGACTTTGCTGTTCACATGTTATCTAATTCATCTTGTAAGTTTATATATTTAGGTACAATTATATGCAAATAGGATTGTCAAATGTATCAGAAAAAAAATGAAATACTCATCAATACTAAAACTCGTATTGAAATTAGATACTAATTTGAGCAGGTATCGATACTAAAAAAGTCTCATTTGCTGGACCGTAATGAACCTTTCCTGAATAGTTTTACCATGATCTTGAGCTGTATCAGAACAAGTATAAAGGCTGAAGTATAGTTCTGTGTCGACTCAACGTGCACTGCCGCTGTTGCCTTGTCGCCGTCGTTTTTGATTTATGGATCTGCGTCGAGGTCTGTGCACTGGGAAGTAATTCACTGCCAAAACGCTAGGGGGCGACGATATCTGTCCATTCATATATACAGTCCGTGTGTATGACCCGCAGACGTATAATCTCTGAAAAGTTTAACATGAACCATCTCTAACGTGACCAAAGCACAGAACAGACTCATCATTAGTACAATGTGACTCTGTCACAGAAAGAACACTCATATTCCACTGAGTCATGTCCTTTTTAAGTCCGAGAGAAGCTGAACCGCGTACCAGGAACGAGCTGTTTTATGAGCGCTTTGCTTATGTAAGTTAGCCATGCGGTTTTAAGTTTTGTTTCTGTAAAACGTAAACACATATCCACAAAGCTGCATTAAACACATTATTTCTCAATATATACTGAAAGAAAGAAAAGCCGACAGGAAATGTATACAGAGCGGTGGTACGGAGGACCAATCACAGCTCTTATCATTTGCGTTGCTTCCCCTGCTCTCTGCGTCGTGATGCAGACGATTTGACGCTGGACCGTAAATTGGCCTTAAGGGATAACTAGTCCGAAATAACCGAAATATTGTCAAAGTTCTCACAGTAATATCGTGGACCATCACATTGGACCATCGAATTACAAGTTTCTTTGCTTAAATTCATTATGGTGCAGCAATAGCTAAAAAAGACAGGAACTATATAGACCATGATCCTTTGCTCCATTTCAGTGCAGACTACAAGAAGAAATAACAGCTCTAAGCACTTTTAAGTCTTAGTTCTTTGGGTTAAGTCTTGTCAAGACATTTTAAGAGAAAATTTGCCTCCACAAAATATCGCAATAAATATTGTACTGTGAGATGTATATCATGAAAATATCGTACCGTGAGATTTAGATATTGTTACATTCCTAATCGTGAGCCTCCCCACGATATCATTTCCCACGATATCGCAATAAATATCATACTGTGAGGTTCATACCATGACGATATTGTATTGTGAGACTTGGATATCGTTACACCCCTATTATGGACCCTTTTACAAAGTGTTGAATAGAGATGGAAGCATGGCCATGATCACTTCGTATTTGGAAAGCTGCGACTAACGCGTTAGCTACGTCCATTTTATAGTTTATGGTTTCAACAAGGAATTTTCTTGGTGATATTATGACGGATAATAACTAATAGGCCTAGCTTATTATTAGAATCATATTAAAATTTCAGGTGCTTGTTAATGCTGAAGTTTTTTTCTCGTTTTTATGTCACACTGGTGAATTATATTTACACACAAATCTATCATTTTGTTGTGGTATATATTTCTTTGTTTGGCAGGGCAGAACATTCATAGGTCCTCACTGACAACACAATCAATGTTCAATCTGGCTTCTGTCAAGTTAGTTTCAGTGCCATGACACCAATTTCAGCAGCAAAACCATCAGCCCCCTCAGCTATTCCATCTACCTCTTCTCAATCACTGTCTACTCCATCATAGGCCTTTCAAATGCTTTGCGTTATCACGTAATACTGCTCTAATAAAATCCAGCCGTTCCTGAGCTGCCCAGTTCACCAACTCTCTTTGAATTTTGGTTGAATTTTGGTTGTGTTAGTTCCATTTCAAGGTTAAGGTGCACTTTATTGTCCACGTAGGGAAATTTGTCCTCTGCATTTGACCCATCCTTCAGTGTGGCTGTTTGGACCATTTAAGTCATTCCTTTGTTTTGATATTTGTTACACTGAACTCAGTTGTGCTGAACATGAACTGCTAAAATAATCTGTACATTTCAGAGCGTGACTGTAGAGGTCTAAACCTCAAAGTTATAAATATTTGATTGTACTTTTTGACAGAGGACAGTCTATTAAATTGCAACCTAGTGATTTGATAAGTGCAGCACTGGTCCATTTCGATTAGAATTTTGATGTAGTTGTGTTTTGGAGTTATTTTTATAAATTCTGTTTAATTTACAAGTCTAACAGTCAAAAGTCATGACTTAAAATGTGTTTTTACATTTTAATGAAAAGTATATGTATTTTTTGTCAGAGGGAGAAGCTTAGATTTACATTTTCTAAGGTTTAGACAAACTTTATTGATTCACAAGAGAAATTATTTGGGCACAGTAGCTCACATGTCACAATATATTATAATAACAAAAAGCAAAAATATAAATGGCAATAATAAATTCAAAATAATTAGAAAAAATACTCTTATTGTTATTGTGATATATAGTCTGTTGCTATATTAATAATAACTATTGCATTAGCCAACAGTGCAAAATCTATATTTTTGCATTGTCTGGTGCTGCTGTAGTTTAGTTTAAATTAGTAGTTTAAATAACTAGTACACCCTTACCAACACAAATTACAGCCCGATTCAAATTATAATTGTAATTAGCTTTTGTTATATTTAGAGACATACAAGACAACGCTGATAATTATTTCTGTGTAAATGTGATGTGATTCAAAAAATAACTTGATTAAAATCCTTCACCTTCACCCATAATTCTTCATTAATCACCGTATTCTAATAGTGCAGTGTGTTTCTTGCATCTGCAGGTGGTGTTTCTAGCTTTCATCTGAAGGCAGAACTTGGTAATTGACACTTGATCTCTTGGCTTTGTAGAAGAAGACTCCACAGATCATCCCCACAGCGGCCAGAGCACAGCCAGTGATGAATACCAGGTTGAGGTTCAGGCCTGTAGCAATATTATAAATAAATAAATAAAAAAATAATAATAATAATAAAAAAAATATATATATATATCTATATCTATCTATCTATCTATCTATATATATATATATATATATATATATCTATCTATATATATATACATATATATATATATATATATATATATATATATATATATATATATATATATATATATATATATATATATATATATATATATATATATACACACACACACACACACACACACACACACACACAAGCAATCAAGCAAGTTTTTTCTTGATTGGAAAGGACACAGGTGTCTCCCAGGAGATAATAAGACGATGTACAAGAGGTATCATTGTGGAAAAATATTATTTCTCAGCTTTTAATTACATTTGAACGAAAAGTGGCATGTCCAGAATTATTCATACCCTTCTCAATAATCAATAGAAAAGCCTTTATTGGCTATTACAGCAATCCAATGCTTCTTATAATTGTTGACCAGTTTTTTGCACATTTCCACTGGTATTTTTGCCCATTCATCTTTAGCGGTGAGCTCCAGAGCTTTCAAATTGGAGGATCTCCTTGCCATCACTCTGATCTTTAGCTCCCTCCACAGATTCTCAGTTGGATTCATGTCAGGACTCTGGCTGGGCCACTGCAAAACGGTAATGTTGCTGTCCAATGACCATTTCTTCACCACTTTTGCAGTGTGCTTTGGGTCATTGTCATGCTGAAATGTCCACTGGTGCCCAAGTCCAAGTTCCTCTACAGACTGCTTGATGTTGTTCTTTAGAATCTTGACGTATTGCTCTTTGTTCATGGTGCGATTTACTGTGATTATTTTTCAGTTGGCTGAAAAAACATTTCCAAAGCATTAGGTTCCCACCAGCATGTTTGGCAGTGGGGATGATGTTCTTAAAGTTGAAGGCTTCTCCTTTTTTACGCCAACTCATCAGTACATCATTGTGGCCAAACAATTCTATTTTTGTTTCATCTGACCATAAAACAGAAGACCTGAAGTCTTCTTCTTTGTCCAGATGAGCATTTGCAAAGGCTAAACAGGCTTTTGTTTGTCTTATCTGGAGAAGCGACGTCCGCCTTGGTCTGCGTCCATGGAACCCAGCAGTATGTAGTGTCCGTTGGATTGTCTGCTTTGAGATGTTGCCACCAGCAGAGCCCATATTCACTTGGATGGCCTTGGCGGTGATCTGTGGATTCTTTTTCACCTCTCTCACTATCCTCCTGCCCAGCACAGGTGTCACTTTTGGCTTCTGACCACGTCCTCTCAGATTTACCACAGTGTGGAACGTCTTGTATTTTTTAATAATTCTTTTCTTATTGTGAGCAGCCACAATACGCAGCCTCAGATCCTCAGAGAGCTCCTTTGTCTTAGCCATGACTGTTCACAAACCAACTGCAAAGACCTGCTGTTTTTCACCTGTTCAGTTGCTTAAAACAGCTCTTCCCAATGAATCAGGGTAATTAGGAAGTTTTAGAACACCTTGTGCTGTTTGGAATGGTATAAAACTTTGGATTTTACCATAGACTCTGACAAAGGGTATGAATAATTTTGGACATGCCACTTTTTGTTCAAACGTAAATAAAAGCTGAGAAATATTTTTTTCCACAATGATGCCTCATGTAACTCATCTTATTATCTCCTGGGTGATGCCTGTGTCATCAAAAAACTTGCTGGTTGACTAAAAGTAATTTTAAGTTAAAAAAAAGTGCTCTTCAGAGTTCTTGAGTGGGCAAATAACTTAATGGATGGAAGAGGAGATCCAAGGTACTCCGATATGCTTTGCTATTATTTTATTTCATGTCAAATGCCAACGCGTTTTGACTTCATCAGGCACAACTCCAGGTATGTTTTTGAGGAGGTAACAACATTATAACATGACTAGCGAGAGTCAATTTAGCATAATATAGGACATAATATAGGACTTGCATAAACTGATATATATTACCGCAGGCCCTATCCCACCAATACTTAGAAAAACAGCAAAACCTGTCATATCCATTGACTAGTAAAAACACCCAACTGGTCTTATTGTCTTTACTACTTTTTTCCACCATTGTACCTGTGTTTTCTGCCTGCACAGATCTCTTGAGGCGCAGTGGGCCCTGGGACACATAGTGGACTCCAGTCTCAATGGCGGCCTCTCTCCTGTTTCTTCTTGGTGCATTGGGCAGACATCCCTGAGCGCAGCGAGTGTGTGGGTTTCCAGCTTCACACATCAACACCGAGCAGCTGATGTAGACCTAGAAATGTTCAAGAGTTTGAGAGATAATTTTAAAGGTTTGTAAATGTGTTTTTTCTACTAGCTTGTGTACAGCATTAGAAAAATCCTTTCAGCTAATGTTATGCTTGAGATGAAGCTAACTAGAGCCACTGCTGTGTCTGAAGTTCTGTTACTCAAATTAGACTTTAATTTGAGCTTTGTTTTAACCCAATTTGACCAGAAAAAGCTGACTTCAGTGGAACTTCTGTAGGTGAACTGAAGTCCCTCTCAAATAACGTTACAGAAACGAGCTAGTTTCACTCTGAAGTTTTTCTTGAAAATCAAACACGTGAACAGAACAATGAACGCTCGATCATGTGATGTCACTGTACAGTATGAACTGATTCATTCAGCTGAATACCTGGTCATGAAGGCCAATGAACTTAAAGGCCTTAAAGCTGAATTTGACTTGTCTGTTGTGACTTCTTGGATAGACGATCAGTGTTGAGTCTAAGTTGCAGCTGTTTAAAAGCACAAAGACAAAAGTGGAATTAGTTACACAAAATGCCATGTAAGCTTGATATAAGCAGCCCTTCAATATGTTGTCATAATACTAAAATTTAAAACTCATTTTGATACCTGAGAAAACACTCAATATAAAATGATTTTTAGACAATAGGCTATTAGTAATTATTAATTTTCTACATAAAATAATAGCATTTGTTTATCTTACTCTAGTTCTGATAAAACTCAAGGTGAAACTGATCATGAAAGGTGAAATTTTATCCAGTTATGTGATTTTTCTTTTTTCAATATTTCTCAAAATAAAACTTGGTTAAATGAGTATCTAGTTTTGTACTATTTTGGTGTTGGTTAGTATCTGATTTTCAATAGTTTTGTCAATCCTAGTTCATAATATCTACAATTTCACTAAAAGAATCCACTTACCCGTTCTCAATGAGGCTGTAGGGATGGGGGTAGTTGGGGTTGTCATAGGGTGCAGCTCTGCAGGACTCCACAAACAGCTCTGTGTTGTTGAGTGGACCTGTTGCTTCGATCGCCATGAAGATGCGATCGCCCACGTCATACTCCAGAGGGTAGAGCCAGGGATCGATACTGGTGACAAACTTCTGATTTGGGAAGAACTCAAAGCTGTAGGTGAACTTCCCAAAGCCCTTTTCCCACACTGTCACATTCTCTCTGTGAGCCTTGAAGGTGGCGGTCACGTTTCCTCTTTTGGAGTACTGGCAGCAGAACTTGATTTCCAACAGGTGTTTTCTGGTGATGAGGGCCGAGGTATTGTCCACTGTGGTGATCTCATTCATGAAAAGTAGATCATCATCATCCTCCTGCAAAGACGGTAATGTGATTAACTCCAAAAATTGTGATAACACCGAACATTACTTGAAAAGTACAATTTCTTATTATACAATCTCAAACATAAAATATTTTTTAATGGAATGAACTATGCCTATAAAATAATGGAAAATGAATCCAATTTGTTATAAACAAATTCTGAATTTTATTATGATTCCATCATAGAGGACAATAGGGGGTTCTTGTTATATTTTAATACTGATAGTGTTGCCTAACTTCAAAAAGTTTGACATTCCAAATACTGAAATCATCATGTAGTAAACTGATTGTTTGTCTTGTATAATAGACAGCTGTCGTGTGTATTTTTGCCCTGTTGAATTGTCTGTGGTAAGCAATGAATCTGAATATAAGATAATTGAAATTTCATTGATGGCTTACATGTTGAATCAATAAAACCACATTACAAATTCAACAAGATCAGAATAATGTTTCAGTAAATGTTGGGAATGCAATCATATCCATGTAGAAGCAAATACACTTCAGAGACAATTTTAAGCTGTTCTGAATTTAAACCTCAGATTGAATGGTTCTTTGATGGTTAAACTCTGATCTATAAATACTTTAATAAATCTTACATTTCTCTCTTTCTTGTTAGTCTTACCTCGATCTGGGTGCCACAGGCGTTGAGGGGCACTATGGCGACCACGTGGGTGCTGTTGGAGTGGGTTTGGAGGCTGCAGGCTGTGTTACTGGGATCAGACAGACGCAGATCTTCATAATGGAGTGGAGGCAATGTGGCTTTCTCCACCTCCACAATCATGGAAGACTCCAGACAGGTGACCACTGTGTTCACTAAAATGAGAGAATAAACAAAAGAGCCATATGTTTAAATGAGAATTGCTGCTTCTATAAGTTGCATTCACATTGTAGAATTTATTTAACCACAAAAACCAAGTCAACAAATCTGCAATAAGATTTAAATTTCACTGTTGAATTCTGAACTGTCGTCCAGCTCAGTTTTGAAATACAGGAATTATAGAATGTTTTGATGTCATATGAACCAAACCTATTACTATAATCTTTCAGAAGAATTGTAATCACTTACCTAGATTCTTTGTAACGTTCACCAGCACACATCTCATCTCAGTTTGGTAAACGTAAGTTCTGATTACATAAAACATAAAACAAATGACTTGAAAATAGTAAACTATGCATATTTATTTTGTATTAATGTTTAAGCCTTTGTAAACAAACAGTTTATCCCTTACCCATTTTTAAATTCAACAGCAAAGCAGATTGGAAAATAGTGTCCGATTTCTTCAGAAGTAGGAGTCCATCTGATGGTGAACTCATCTCCAGTGGTTTTGTGCTTGGTGATATTCAGCGGCCCGGTCATTATAAGGTCGTCAACTCTGTTTTGGTAAAAAATTAAACATTGTTAATATATCAGGTTTAGTTGTAATGTTTTTGCATTTTTGGTTTACTTACTGTGAATAAAGAGCTTTGGCCTTGACTTTTATCTCTACTTCTTTTCCAGCTTCTGCCAGAATGACCTCTCCGTCTCTGGGTGTTGGGGAAACATACTTTGGCAGATAATATCCTTCAGCACAAGTGGGAACAGGTGGGTCCACTGTAATAACACCATAATGTTAGTGTGTTGTGTTTCTGTATTAAAGGCCCTGTACCCGATTTTACCCCCATGTATTTGTGCTAAACCCGTCTGGCCCCTCTACAGAGATATTTCATAAGCAGCTCTTGAGGTCAGAATAAGTCAGCTGAGTGTTGTTTACATCGAAATGGAAAGTACGTTATCACTTGATAATCAGGAAGTGCGTTTTAGCATATTAGTTGTTGTTAGCTTTACTGTCATGGCAAAACTCTGCTCCACTCCACTCTGTTGTGAAAAGCGCTTGTTCATGGTGATTAATAATTAGGAGGCTCTGAATGCATAAGATAAATGAGGAGTAACTTTGGATCACTGAAAAGTGTTTAAAATGAACTAGTTCTGTTTTTCACATTTTTATGAGAATAAAAATCAGGTACAGTGCCTTTAATATATAGATCATGACTGTGGCACGACAGTAAATCTACAATGATACTGACCGTAAAAAACAAACTGCATAGGCAGCAAACTGAGCGCAGTTTTCAAGGATGCAGAAGTAGTGGGTGGTGGAGTTGTAGTAGTGGGGGCAGTAGTAGTTGTAGTCCATGGTGTGGTAGTGGTAATAATACCACCATGGTGTTGTAGTTGGGGCAGGGATAGTAGTGGGGGCAGTAGTAGTAGTAGTAGTAGGGGCCTTAGTAGTAGTAGTAGTAGTAGTAGTAGTAGTAGTAGTAGTAGTAGGGACAGTAGTCGGCACTGCTCTCTTTCTTCGTGCAGTCCATGCATATTTGAAAGCCTTGGTTCCATCAGAGTAAGAGAGCATAACAGGCTTTCGTGGAAAGTCCTCCACCACCAATTCAAATTCATAGACGCCTTGGTTTCCAGAAGCCAGATAGTGCAGTGTGCATGTAGCCTATGAAAAGATGATAAGCAAGGTTCAATCTCAACCTTCCCCCAAATAATGATTGCATGTTTATTGTGTCTTTAATGTGTAATTCTGCCTTGTAATATTTTGCACCAAATTTCTGAAAAACATTGTGGTACTTTGTGTTTGTAGTGTCACTTCTTTAGACAAATCAAATAGAGTCTTCCAACACAAAATCCTGCTGTACCAGATTATTCTCTCGATCAGGGGTCTCCAACCTGTAGCTCAGGAGCTACTGGTAGATCTCCACCCCCTTCCAAGTAGCTCGCCAAGGGATTTCTGAATTACAAGTATTGAGCTGAATAAGTCTAATTTGATAAATTAAATGCCTATTACCATTATGCCCATATCATTTTGATTCCTAACTTTGTGCCCTGCAGTGGATAATGGTTTATGTTTTATAGGCATCTGACTGTACCTCATCTAAGACTGTGGCTCTTACATGTACTCAGTTTCTTGTGACCGCTAAAACTAGTAGTCCAATGACATTTTCGTTTTGTAAAGGTAGCTCACTGGAGGGAGTTTCAATGCTAGAGGCTGAATAGAGTACAGTGTAAAAGTTTTTTCCTCTGGGCTGGGACTGTTGACCTTTATTGCAACCTAGCACTGAAAGAGGCTTGTTTGAACCTTTACTTTAATTTTGTGAATGGTTATTTAAATTACATGTCATATTGGTTATTGGTAGTGTACCTCTCCTGACGATCTAATAAATGGTGGCGACAACCCTATGAGAATAACGAAATACCGTATTTTCAGACTAGAAGTCACACTTTTTCATGATTTGAGTGGTCCTGTGACTTACACTCTGGAACGATTAATAATCCAAAAAATACAGTAGTCAAATCTAAAAACAATCAATTTTACTAACCTCATCTACTTGGAATCCTGCATGTCTTTTACAAGAATCACATTCTGCAGTCATTTTTTTTCCATATCTGCATCGAACAACATCTCCATCAGGGTCAAAGGCCATGGGTTTGTAGGTGCGTTTGCAGTTCTGAGGAACCCTTTAAGAGACAGAAGGATTATTTAATTACTGTATTATCTATTCTGGTGTCTTCATGCCTATTGTTGGTCCATCTTGAATTTCTTAGGAGACAAAGGAGCAAATAATAATCTAATCTAAATCTAAAAGACTTAAAATCACTTTTATTCTTTCTTCTTTTATTAAAGGTGCACTCTGTCACTTTTCTGCTGATTGGTCGGCCATCTGCTTAGCTCCATAGACATGTTATTGCGTTGCACAAAAGTATAACATGGTAAAGTTTACTTACTTTTACTTTCTTTTTTTTTAAGCAGTAAATCTTCCATCTTTGCAAGATGTGGGATAAATAACTTTAATGCCTACTGTGGAACATTTCAACCAAATCAATAATTTTAAAAATCCCAGTAAGAATGTGCTATGTATTTATAGTAATACAGATCACCTCTGTGTCTTGGCGTCTGTGTAAAAACTCTTTTTATCCCTCTAAATTCCTGCCAACTGCCCATTATCATTTGTAAAGCTAAACAATGTTAATCTTTCACTTACCGCAGAAAAGGGAGAATGCCAATATCAGGAGAGTTGTTTGGCTTCTTAGTGTCTGATCTTTTGCCCAAATCCACAGAAGTCAGTACACTCCATGATGGAGATGTTAAATAGGGGTACTCAAAGATCCAACAGCAGCTGAATTCCCTGCAAATACAATAATATTCACTAATCCAACATCTGTATTTATGGTAATGTCTGTTATCATAGACACAAATATCTACACAAATACAAAAAAATGGCCTACCTGGTTTGGAAAGGTTTATCACTGGGGAGGACCTTAGTGACAACTGTTTCTGTTTGACACCACGTGTTTGCACGTGGGGGGCCATTGTTACTCCTGTCAATCACACCCATGTCTATTTGGTCGTTGATCCCGCAGTTGTTCCCGTTGTTGTAACAAGTTCCATATTGGTATTGACATGAACGGAATGTTGCCTTGTTCCTGAGTTCCACCTGCCAAAAACATTGAATATTTATTTCATGTTGAGTTCGATTATGTTCACTAAAGGATGGCAGTAGCTCCAGTAGTTCTATAACTCATAAAGGTTGAGGTCATTGTATCTTTGGATGAGACAGTTTCTTGAGAGAACATGTTTGTGAGATTTCGTGATTGGGTGGTTGTCATTGGAGTTGTGGAGTCAGACTGCAGTGACTGGATGTACCAGATAAAAGCAACTTTGAATATTAAGATAAGCGCCAAAAAGACCATGTTATAAAGGGCTTGATCTGACATATTACATGCTATGGTCTTAGTTAGGGTGTAGTACAGTTAGAAGTGTAGATACCTAAGATTGAACTGGATTTCTTTGTGTTGGTAAATTATAATCTTAAGAAGTAGCCTTACCCCAAAGGTCCCATTGCTGAGACTTTTGTATCTGTAGTTCACAAGCCCTCCAAAGAAGTGAGATGCAGAGGCCAGTGAGAGCCACAGCAGCGGCAGGACGACCAGTGTAGTGGAGAACATGATGCCCACAGCTCTCTGTTGCTCCTCTGTTGCTCCTCTGTCACTGTCTCCTCCTCAGCATCATTTATACCGTTCACTGCCTTGGGATGTGTTATACCATAACAATGGGAACTAGTCAGACGAGTTTCATGTCAGTTCTTAATTAACGTGGACCAATGCTTAAAAGAACCAAACAAATACATAGTGTACTTGGGAAGTGCCCAGTTTAACTGTGAAGCACATCCAGTAATATTTAGCACATAATTAAGTGCAGTTAACAACACAAGCCCTGTCCACATAATTACCATGTCAACTTATCGTTCAGTATATGAAAGCGGGAACAATATTTTTTTGGCTGTATATTAAGATTAATCCCATAAATGGTTGAATTCTGATGTGTATTTTTTGCTCATGTTTTTTTTTTTTTTTTTTTTGACAAAACTGTAGAATTAGGATAGTTTTTGTGTTTTAAATTTGTTCTTGGGTTGCTGAGTGCAGGGTAGCCACGGGGTCTTAGAAGTCTGAAAAAAGTCTTACATTTCATGTTCCTAAATTAAGGCCTTAAAAAGAGTTAAATTATGTTGTCCAAGTCTTATTTTTTTCACAAAGGTCTTAAATTTCATTAGTTTATTTTTTTGTTTACTCAACCAGGCTGCAGTGAAAAGTTAAATGGAGGGAGGAAAAAAACAACATGAATGAATGTCTAATTTGGAGTATGTGCAAAACAATACTTTGGTTTCTGGCACCAGCGGCAATGAGTAAACAATCAGTAGGATGGAGGAAGATGTTGGATGGATCATGGGGAAGTGTAGGTTTAATCCACAGTGGGTCTTAGATTCTAGATATCGAACGGTCGTTGGTTGGTCGTTGTTGGAATTGGATCTGGTATTTTGACCCATGTGTGTGATGTTGGTCTTAATTTTCATTTAAGTGGTCTTAAAAAGGTCTTGAAAAAGTCTTAAATTTGGGGTAGTCAAACCTGGGGATACCTTGTGAGTGAGTGACATAAATTAGTTTCAATATTATCATTTATCATATATGTTTACTTCAGCAATCGAACTTTAAAGTTTGTAATTGTAGCCTTTTTTTTTTTTAACATGCCAAATATGCCTTGAGCTGTATCAGAAGTAGTTGTGTAGTTTATGTTTATGAAGCATTATGGACCTTATTACAAAGTGTTAATAGTGTTAAATAGAGACAGAAGCATGGCCATGATCACTTCCTATTTGGGATGTTGCGACTAGAGCGTTAGCTACGTCCATTGATAGTTTATGGTGACGTTATGACTGTTAATCACTAATAGGCTCGTTAGCTTATTAGACGAATGATATTAAAATTTCAGATGCTTGTTAATGCTGATGTTTTTTTTTTTCTCATTGTTTTTATGCCACACCGGTGAATTATTATTTACACACAAATCTAGCATTTTGTAGTGGTATGCATTTCTTTGTTTGGCAGGGCAGAACATTTATAGGTCCTCACAGACAAAACATTTCAATCTGGCTTCTGTCATTTTAGTTTCAGTACCATGACACCAATTTCACCAGCGAAACCATCAACCCCCTTAGTTATTCCATCCATCGCCTTCAGTGGGGCTGTAAGTCTTCCCTTTGTTTTGATATTTATTACAATGGACTCAGTTGTGCTGAACATTACCTGCCAAAATTATCTGTACCGGTTGTGTGTTTGTAGACATCTAAACTTCAAAGTTATCTTCAAAGTTATATTTAATTTTTTGGCAGAGGACAGTCTATTGAATTGCATCCTAGTGATTTGATAAGTGCTCCAGTTTAGATTACAATTTTGACATATTTGTGTTTTGGAGACAGATATTTTTAGAAATTCAACTGTGCTTGTTATTCTGCGTGGCTGCCGTAACACAAAACAGGTGATTAAAATGTACATCCTCATAATTATAACATTCATACACGCAACTATTTAAAAGGCTTACGAATATCTTTGGCCAAACACACATGCGCGTGGGTCCAGCAATCAATCTGGCTTCCCACAGAAACTGGCAATTCCCGTGCACACAACCAACTTCCTCTTAAACTTTGTTGGTCTGTGGCATAGCAGCAACACCCATTATAATTATTTATATTTACCATTATAAATATATGTATTATATGTAGGCTATATAATATTATAACGAATACCAGAAACTAACAGTAATTTTGGTCACTTTTGGCTGAACATCTGGCCTTTCAAAGTTCAACCCCCCTCACTGTTGCTGTCATCTACCACCCCCACAAACCAAATCTTTCGTTCAAGTCCGATTTCTCCACATTCCTGACCCAACTTCTCACCACCTCCACCTCCCCTCCTACCACCTCCACTGCCACTACCGACTTTATGGAAATATATTACTGCTTCAACATCAGTCAGCTTGTCAACTTCCCCATCCATAACCATGGACATATTCTGGATCTTTTCTGCACTTCCAGCCTTTCCATATCAAACCTCTCCAGCATTGATCTCATCTGGCCATCACCTTCACCACTAACATCCCCATCCCTCATCAAAAACAGACAAATTTGCTATGTTTCCGTAAACTGAGTCCCAATTTACCCTCCACACTCACTTCCCACTTGAACATTTATCCATAGCCACTCTCACTGATGCTCAATCCACAACTGAATTTACTATTCACTACAACGACACCCTCTCCTTCTGCATGGATTAACTCGCTCCCCGATAAAATCAAAATTGTCTCATTCAGTCACTCTGCTCCCTGGATCACCGTTCAACTAAGTCACATGAAAACCAAAGGACGTCAGCTAGAAAATCTAAGCAAAAAGTGTAGCACCCAAATCTACAAAGACTATCAATACAAGGAAGCTCTGTCTCAAGCCCGGACCACCTACTATTCCCACTTCATTCGGTCTGGCTCTGGAAATCCCAAAAAACTTTCCATCCACCATTAACAAACTCAAACTAAATCCCCTGGACAATGACTCACATCAGAAAAGTGCAATTCCTTCCTGTTATTTTTTCAAAACAAAATCACCAACATCTACAGCCACCTCTCTGCATCTCCATCCGTCGCACTTAACTCTCCCTGCCCTCCCACCACATGCCCCGCCCTGTCCCATTTTTACCTGGTCTCCCCCTCTGACCTGCCTGAACTTCTGGAAGGCATGAAACCCTCCATCCCCTCGATCCCATCCCGTCCACCCTCGTCAAAGCCTGTCTGCCTGCTCATCTGTCCCCGCTGATCACTTCCATCATTAATTCCTCTCTGTCCACTGGCTCCGTCTCATCTACACTCAACCGTGCCGCCATTATCGCTATCCTCAAAAAACCTGGACTTGACCTAGACATTCCGAACAACTACAGACCCATCTCTAACCTCCCATTTCTCTCCACACCATCCATACCATTGCTTCCCAACTGAAATCCCACTTCCCACCTCCCACCACAGGACAGCCCTCCTTCGAGTCACCATTGACCTCCTGCTGTCCTTTGACTCTGGCAACCTCAGCATCTTCATCCTCTTGGACCTCACTGCCGCTTTTGCCACCATCAACCACTCCATCCTCCTCTCTCGCCTGCAGACTGCCTTCAACACCGACACGGCCCTCTCCTGGTTCACCTCCTACCTCACCGACAGACCCCCTTCCCCACTTACCCAAGGAGGTCCCCAAGGTTCAGTTTTTGGCCCTCTCCTCTTCATACTCTTCATCCTCCCCCTCGGTCACATAATCCGCCGCCACAGCCTCCAGTTCCATTGCTACAGTCTAACTTCCTCCAACTCAACTGCAACAAAAGTAAAATAATCATTATCGGCCCCAAAACACTCACCAAAACCCATCATTAACTTCATCCTCTCCATTGACGGCTCCTCAGTCCCCTCCTCCCGCCACCATAACCTGGGCATATTTTTTGACCAGACCTTCTCCTTAGATGTCAAACACATCACCAAAACTGCTTTCTTTCACCTCCGGAACATTGCTCGCCTCCGCCCATCCCTCTTCCCTCAGTCTGCTGAAACCCTCATCCACGCCTTTGTCACCTCCTGCCTCGACTGCTGCAACAACTGCTCTACGGTTCACCCTCCAAACTCTTTAATAGACTCCAGTACATCCAGAACTCTGCTGCCCACCTCCTCATGCGCACCTCCTCCCGTGAACACATTACCCCGTCCTCAAAGATCTCCACTGACTCCCCATCCCCCAGTGCATCCAGTTCAAACTCCTCACCGTTGTGTATAAGTTCTTCCACAACTTAGCCCCCACCCACTTCTCTGAGCTCCTCCACCACCCCTGTGCCCCCTGATCCACCCTCAGGACTAAACACAAGACCTGAGGGGACAGGACCTTTGCCGCTGCTGCCCCCAACCTCTGGAACTCCTTCCCCAAACACATCAGAGACTCATCCACACTCCCCATGTTTAAAAAAGCCCTGAAAACTCTTTAAAACTTTCATTAACTTTCTTATTTCTTTTGTTTGCCTTTACGCAGTAGCACAACCTGATCCCCCGCTCACAGCCACCATCAACAGAACACCGGAGCAGCTCTGTCGCACCCACAAGCTTATTTACACACTATTTAACTATTAACACTATCACACTATTTACCTGTGAGGCTCCATCCTCAAATTTACCCAAAACTAACAAAAACAAGCCTCTTACCTTCTCCACTGAAGCAGAGTGTATCCTCTATCCGCTGTCCTGTTGGTTCTGTCTCCAAAAGTGTATTATTGTCCAATATGAAGAGATGAAACCATGGTCCAAGTCCCGGTTAATGTTAGTGGCTAAACTGGATCCGAAATATAAAATGCCATCGCATTTAAGTTTGTATTTTTTTCTATTTCCTATTTTTCTATTTCCTTCAACGAGGACATAATGTGTTTAATGCAGCTTTGCGCAGCTTTGTTTATGTTTTACAGAAACAAAACTTAAAGCCACATGGCTAATTTGCATAAACATTGAAAAAAACAACAACAGCTGGCTCCTTGTGCGCTGATGCGGTCAGCTTCTGTCTTCTGTCAGACTTTCTCTGGGAATCTCCTGACTACAGATTTTATTGCAGTTGTTCAGTTCTTACTTGAATTTTTGAACTTCAACTTCAAAGGCTTTTTAAGCTGTTCAAAATGTCATTGATATGAATATGACAATAAATGTTGTACCAAATGACTGGTCAAAGCATTTTATAATGTCAGTCTTCTTATTATGTATAATATCGTAATATCGTGCAACTCTTCACTGTATTTTGAGCTTTCCCACGATATCGCAGTAAATATTGTACCGTGACATTCATACAGTGACAATATCATATCGTGAGACTTGGATAATTGCACCGCTTTTACTGAAGGTAAGCACTTGTCGTGTATTTTGGAGTGGAGTTTATTCACTGTTTTCCTTGGATGACACACATCAGCACACCTGACAGGGCTTGTACAGTGAAGTCGTGCATGTGAGTGTACGTGAACAACTGTGCTGTGCTTTGGCTCACCTCCTCCAACAGGAGAGTCTCGTCATTTTGATCTTAAAATGTTTGTATTAACACGCTGTACATGATCCTGGTGTTTTGTTTTGGTTTTTTTTGCTATTTTGTCCATCAAAAATATCCTTTAACATAGTGCCTGGCTCCAAATTTGCTCCTGTAACCATTAGCATCGCAAGCTTCTTTTGGGGGGCAGTGAACGCTCTGGGTGATGTCACAGTCGCTTAGTCCACTTTTTTTCAGTCTATGTTACCAACTCAAACACACATGCAGCCTTGAGTGTGCTGATTAAAATTACCATTTTTATTAGATTTTTTTTAAATATTTAGAGACATACAAGACAACACTGATAATTATTTCTGTGTTAATATGTTTTAATCTGTGATATACCCTATTCTGTGTTCTTCTAATTTTTAATCTTAATTTATCACATTGTACAAAATAAAATTACAAAAAAAAAAACATTAAAATCCTTCACCCATAATTCTTCATTAATCACCGTATTCTAATAGTGCAGTGTGTTTCTTGCATCTGCAGGTGGTGTTTCTAGTTTTCGTCTGAAGGCAGAACTTAGTAATTGACACTTGATTTCTTGGCTTTGTAGAAGACGACTCCACAGATCATCCCCACAGCGGCCAGAGCACAGCCAGCGATGAAGGCCAGGTTGAGGTTCAAGTTCAGGCCTGTAGAAATATAATATTTTATATATAAATAAATATACACACACACACACACACACACACATATATATATATATATATATATATATATATATATATATATATATATATATATATATATATATATATATATATATATATATATACATATACATGCACACACCTCACACACACACACACAGTAGATGTGATTTCTCCCTCTTCTGCTCTTGGTCTCATGAATATTATAGCAATTTTCTTACACTGGTTACTGTCACTTTTAACAACCTACATGCACTGTTGTTCATACTGTTCATACTGTATATTTTGTATTGAATATCAAAGTAAAGTCTATTTTACTATTACCTAGCAACCATAATGTTAACAAAGGCATAAACTTAAAGGACCATATTACACTATTTTCAGATCTGTTCTAATGATGTCTCCTCATCACAAACAGACCTGGAGTTGTGTTTTGTTTCATTTATATGTTTAATACACAAACCCTGCAAATTTAGTCGGAGTTCTTCTCTCAAACGGAAATCACTTATGATGTTATGTGGTAATACAGGAAGTGCTTCACTGTGTTTTTAAACTCCATACACCTTCACTAAAACCACTTGGTGGTTTTAGTTTTGGATTTGCCAGTTTCTACTGAACTAAAGGTAAAAGGTACATCACAACAGCGTGACTAAAATTTCAACTCAATTTTGCATAATACAGGACCTTACCTGATGTAAAACTATAATCTTTATTACCACAGGCACTCTCCCACCAAACCAAGTAATAATAGAAAAACATAAAAACCTGTCATATGCATTGATCAGTAAAAACACCCAACCGGTCTTAGTGTCTTTACTAACTTTTTCCAAACGTTGTACCTGTGTTTTCTGCCTGCACAGATCTCTTGAGGCGCAGTGGGCCCTGGGACACATAGTGGACTCCAGACTCAATGGTGGCCTCTCTCCTGACTCTACTTGGTGCATTGGGCAGACATCCCTGAGCGCAGCGAGTGTATGGGTTTCCAGCTTCACACAGCAACACCGAGCAGCTGATGTAGACCTAGAAATGTTCAAGAGTTTGAGAGATAACTTTAAAGGCTTGTAAATGTGTTTTTTCTACTAGTTTGTGTACAGCAGTGTATTGATTCTTTGCCGCTAATGTCATCCTTAGGAGTGAAGCTAACTAGAGGCACTGCTCTGTCTGAAGCTCTGTTACTCAAGTTGGACTTTAATTTGAGCTTTGTTTAACCCAATTTGACCAGAAAGAACTGACTTGTCTGGAACTACTGCAAGTGAGCTGAAGTCTCTCTCAAATAACATTAGAGAAACAAGCTAGTTTCACTCTCAACTTTTTCTTGAACATCAAACACCTTGAACAGAACAATGACGCTCAATCATGTGTTGTTTGAATCCATTCTATATATTTTCTTGAATTTGAACACAATGATAACTGCTGAACATTCCTCCATCGTGTTGCCTCCCCCAAGGGTTATGTCACTGTAAAGTATCGACTGATTCATTCAGCTGAATACCTGGTCATGAAGGCCAATGAACTTAAAGGCCTCAAAGCTGAATTTGAATTGTTTGCTGTGACTTCTTGGATAGACGATCAGTGTTGAGTCTGAGTTGCAGCTGTTTAAAAGCACAAAGACAAAAGTGGAATTAGTTACACAAAATTTAAAACTCATTTTGATACCTGAGAAAACACTCAATACCTGTTAGCATTTTTGAAACCCAATCCTAGTTCATAATATCTACAATTTCACTAGAATAATCCGCTTACCCGTTCTCAATGAGGCTGTAGGGAGTAGGGTAATTGGGGTTGTCATAGGGTGCAGCTTTGCAGGACTCCACAAACAGCTCTGTGTTGTTGAGTAGACCTGATGCATCGATCTCCATGAAGATGCGATCACCCACGACATACTCCAGAGGGTAGAACTGGGGATCGATCCTGGAGACAAACCTCTGATCTGGGAAGAACTCAAAGCCATAGTTCAATTTCCCAAAGCCTTTGTCCCACACTGTCACATTCTGTCTGTGAGCATTGAAGGTGGCTTTCACATTTCCTCTTTTGGAGTACTGGCAGAAGAACTTGATTTCCAGCTGGTGTCTTCTGGTGATGAGGACAGAGCTACTGTCCATTATGGTGATCTCATTCTTGAAAAGCAGATCATCGTTTTCCTCCTGCAAATACAGTAATGTGATTAACCCCAAAAATTATGATAACATTGAACATTACTTGAAAACTACATTTTCTTATTATACAATCCCAAACATACAATGTTGTTTTGGATTTTTTTGGAACTTTATTTTTAAGAAGGTTTTAAGGCATACAAAATAATAACTAAGAAAATATCCAAACCTAACAAGGTTACATGTACAATTAACAGATCACATGTCACAATTCATTGTCCATGGATTGTCTATAATAGTCCCATCTTTTCCAATATTTTTCTCCTTTGTGTTGTTGTAGGCAGAGACTGAACGTCATGATGTCCATTGTTCTGATTTGTCTGATAATTTACATCAAAAGTCCCATTGTTGGTGCCTCCTTTTTCATCCAGCATTTTGTAATTGCCTTTTTCCCTGAGACAAGAATGATCTTAAATAGATATGTATCAGATTTACTTAAAGACAGATCAACTCGAAGACCCCACACTGATTACATTAGTTAACCACCTTTTTTCCAGAAGTTAGTTACTCCTGGGCATGACCAGAATATATGAACCTGAGCTGCCCTGACAGATCCACACTCTCTCCAGCAGGGGTACTAAGTAGCCAAAATCTTTGCGTACAGGTGTAATAAAAAACCTGACCAGGCTCTTCCTTTTAACCTCCAATCAGAACTCTGCTGGGATTTCAATAGCCAAATCTTTATCCCATTGATATTTCACATGAAGATGTGTCTCATTGTCCATTGAACTGAAACCCTTATAAATTATGCCTACAATATTTTTATTACTGGATCCTTTATAACTATCTACTATAATTTGAATTAAGTTGGAGAGATTTCCAGTCAGAGCAATTTTCACTTCTTTTACAAAATAATGACAGAGCTGAAGATATCTGAAAAAATCATCAATCATTTGCCACATCCAAATTTAAGAGAGAGATTTTGAAAACTATCCATCTGTTCACTGGAGATAAAATTACTGAATGTTATAATACCTAAGAGAAGCCACTGTTTAAATCTAACATCATTTACTGCTGGCAGAAAATGTTAATCACATGCCGGCCAACTCAATAACTTGATTTGTCTTTGGAGTCCATATATCCTTACAACTTGTAGCCAAATTTTAATACCTGTACAGACACAGAAATTTCCATGCTGCAAAACTAATTTGGCACAGTCCACAAGCACTCACTGTACTGGAATATCAGACAAAGACAACTCCATTCCTTCCCATTCCATCACACCAACGTATTAGTGACTGTAACTGGGCTGCAGTATAGTAACTTCTTAGACAAGGTAGGGCCAGGCCTCCCCTGTCTGTCAACAGCTGAATGATAGAGCATTTAATATGTGATTTCTTGGATTTCCACACAAACCTAGATATACATTTATCCCATTCTCTGAATTGTGCCAGTGGAATCTCCACAGGCAATGCATTGAATAAATACAATAATTTGGCTAGAATTATCATTTTAATTGACCTTATCCCAGGCATGTCCAAACTATGGCCCAGGGGCCAAATGCAGCCCTCAGACAATTTTTTCTTGGCCCTCACACTTCCAGGTCAATTGGCCCAAATTACCTTGCATCAATTAAAAAATATTTTTTTACTGCAAGTTTTTTTTTTGAAAATCTACCTTGATAAAGCTAATATTTCATATTTAGTGTGTGGTTTTAAGGATCTTAGCATGAATAGAAACTAATGGCTCATTCTAACGTGTTAAACATGCACATATTTCAATTATTCACTGTACTGAGGACCAGTCTACGGCCCTTGATCAGACCTCGGCTTCGTCTGTGTTTAGATATGTGGCCCTTGATGAAAAAAGTTTGGACACCCCTGCCTTATCCTGTCACTGATGTCCAGAGGAAGCAAAGCCCACCTGTCCATCCTCTCCTTGCTCGCTTTGTGGTATTTGCATAGTTAATTGTGAGAAGTGAAGAAAAGTCTTTTGGTATGAATACCTCAAGATCCAAGAGATTGAATCTGTGACAGTTTCCAGTTAAAATCATAGTCTATAACTAATTCCGGACTAGAATTATAATTGATCAAGAGGGCCTGGGTTTTATTGAAATCAAGAGAATATCCAAAAGACCCAAAATGTTTTAAGGGCACTCATAAGCTGAGGTATGTTAGAACTTGGATTTTGGAGTGTTACCAAGACATTGTCATCATACAAATTCTGTATTCTATACCTCTTATAATTAGACCTTCTAACTCCGTTTCCTGTCTAATCATTTGGGCTCAATGAACAAATTAAACAGAAATGGATTGAGAGGACATGCTTGTATGCAGCCTCTTTGGAGTGTTATTGTGTCAGACAAACCAACGTTTATTTTAATCATTTCAGTCAGTGATGAATATAATGCCCTTATGCACTGTATAAATTGACCTGAAGCTGAAGCGGCCCATTGCTTGATAAAGAAACTGCCAACAACCTGTGTCAAACACCTCAGCATCTAAGCTGAGAAGGACTGCACAGGAGTTTGTGGTTGTTATATGATCAATGATATGGATAGTTCGACGTATATTGCCATGTGTTTGGCGATTGTAAACAAAGCCTGTTTGGTCTACTTCTATGAGAAATGACATGACCTCTTCCATCCTCTTGGCCAGTATTGATGCGAAAAGTTTGTAATCTATATTAAGAACACTGATAAGCCTATAAGATTTACAATACAATTTGTTTTTGCCCTTTTTGTGAATAACAGATATAAAGGCCTCCCTCCATGAGGGAGCGAGAGCACCACTTTTATTTATAGGTTATTTACAAGAGGAGGCTCTCCCATTTGTCTAAAGTCAAACAGTCTTACATACATACTATTGATGTAGCAATCACTGCGTGTTCAAGTCCATCGTGGCTTGAGAAATAATTCAATCTTCTCTCCTGGTAGTCAGAACCGGCGTAGCGGGATCCAAGCAAAAGCTTGGTCAGGATGTCTGCGGTATGCTCTCCAGACTTTTTCACTTAAATTGGTCCAACCAAGAAGCTCCACTTCTCCAGCTCCTCAGCAGCAGCACCCACGTCATTGTAAGTGACAGTCCCAGTGTTAAACTGAATACACATCTTTGTCAGAGGTTTTCTTGCAGTACCTTTTTTATCAGGGTGTATTCTTTTCTCTTCTGCTGTACATCGAGATCAAAGAAAACTGCTTTGAATGTTTGAACATGCATCTGCTTTTTCCGGGCTGATTGAAAAACCTTCTCTTTTATTTTAAATCTCAGGAAACGGATAAAGATGGAGCGTGATGGACCCCGGGTGGTGGTTGTGGACACAGTGCTCAATGGGTCTACTTGATTCCAAGCTTGGCACCCCGTTGGACACCCAAGCTCTCCCCTAGTTTGGTCATTATAAAGCTCTCAACAAACCGTGGCACTGAGGTGCCCTTGGTGTTCTCTGGGACGCTGTAAATTTGGACGTTATTAGTGGCTCTCCAAGTCAGACAACTTTGCCTGTAAATCCCTCTGGTTGTTCATGGGTTCAAGCAATGTGTCGTTCATAGCTAGGTCCCACTTTTCTGTTCCAGCCACATTTTTTCAACCTCCTGTAAGCGCAGAGTAGCATCCTCAATCTGGCTAGTAGCAGTCTGTAACATCTGGTCCATGTTGATGCTCAGGTCATTTAGTTGGCTCTTAATGTCCACTTTGATTACATTCAGAAAGTCAGCAAGGTCCTGTGCTATGTGTAATAGAAGATTGTTCAGGCCCTTTAGCCATAACTTCACTCTCAATTGCGCAGATGATAGCGTTATCTGTGGCCATAGGGCTAACGTCATCTCCACTCTCAGCATCGCTCAAGCTAGCGGTGTTAAAACTCGTGTTAGATTTCTTCTCCATAGGTCCTTTTGTCCCGGACTTTCCCCTCATTTGCCTAGCCCCACTCATCTTTACTTCAGTGATGAAATTATGGTAAAAAAGTCTTTGAATTATGGGGATAAAGTCAGAGTGACCCTTAGCACAGATCACGCCACCGAAAGTCTCAATATACAATGTTTTTGATGGAATGAACCATGCCAACAAAATAATGGCAAATTAATCCGATTTGTTATAAACCTGGGGTGAAATTCAGAATTTTAATATGATGGCATCATAGAGGACAATAGGGGTCCTTGTAATATTTTGATACTGATAGTATCAAAAAGTTTCATCACATAGTAAGCTGGTTGTTTTTTTTGTATAATAGATAGCTGTTGTGTGTATTTTTGGTCTGTTGAATTATCTGTTGCAAGCAATGACTTTGAATATAAGATGACTGAAATTTCATTGATGGCTTACAATGTTAAGTCAATAAAACAACATTATAAATTAAACTAAATAAAAATAATATTTAAATAAATGTTGGGATTGCCTGCCGGTACCCATCGTGCTGCAGCTCATGCAGTCGCAGAGGCAAAAACACGGGGTTGAGAGGAGTTCGGAGAGGCCATGGTGGAGGACTATTGGTCGGCCTGAAAGAAATTCTGGCAAACCATCTGACGCCTCAGGAGGGGGAAGCTGTGCTTCACCAACTGTTTACAGTGCGGGTTGAGAGCTGTTGATCTCAACTGGGGATGTTGTCAGGCCGCGGAAGGAGGATCTTTGAGTATCTCCTCAATCCGGCTGTCTCATCTTCCGAGGAGGAAGCCGAGGCTGGGGACATGGAGGTGAACTCCTCCATCACCATGGCTGAAGTCACTGAGGTGGTTGGCAAGCTCCTCGGTGGCAAGGCTCCTGGGGTGGATGAGATCCGTCTTGAGTATCTTAAGTCTGGATGTTGTGGGGCTGTCTGGGTGTGTTCCAACTACTCAGCCTCCCGGTAAGGTCTACTGGGTACTGGAGAGGAGAATTTGGCCAATAGTCAAACCCATCTAGGAGGAGCAGTGTGGTTCTCCTCCCGGCCCCGGAACACTGGACCAGCTCTATACTCTTCATCGGGTGCTCGAGGGTTCATGGGAGTTTGCCCAACCAGTCCACATGTGCTTTGTGGATCTGGAGAATGCACTCGACCATGTCCCTCGTGGTGTCCTGTGGGGGGGTGCTCTGGGAGTATGGGGTTTGGGGCCCTTTGCTGAGGGCTGTCCGGTCCCTGTATGATCGGAGCAGGAGCTGTCTTCGCATTGCCGCCAGTAAGTCAGATCTGCATGTTGGACTCTGCCAGGGCTGCCCTTTGTCACCAGTACTGTTCGTTGTATTTATGGACAGAATTTGTAGGCGCAGTCTGGGGCCGGAGGGGGTCTGGTTTGGGGACCACATCTCTGCTGTTTGCAGATGTTGTCCTGTTGGCTTCATCAAACCAGGACCTGCAACATGCACTGGGGCGGTTTGCAGCCAAGTGTGAGGTGGATGATGAGGATCAACTCCTCCAAATCTGAGGCCATGGTTCTCGACCGGAAAAAGGAGGCTTCCCCTCTCCGGGTGGGTGGAGAGTCCCTGCCTCAAGTGAAGAAGTTTAAGTATCTCGGGGTCTTGACCATGAGTGAGGGACCGTTGTGGTGAAGAGTGAGCTGAGCCAAAAGGCAAAGCTCTCGATTTACCGGTCAGTCTTCGTTCCTACTCTCACCTATGGTCATGAGCTCTGGGTAATGATTGAAAGGACAAGATCGCAGATACAAGCTTAGTTTCCTCCGCAGGGTGGCTGGGCACTTCCTCCTTGTCGCCTCTCTCGGGAAGTGTTTTGGGCATGTACCAACGGAAGTAGGCCCTGAGGAAGACTCAGAACATGCTCAGAACATGTCTTTCAGCTGGCCTGGGAAGACCTTAGGGTCTCCCCAGAGGAACTGGAGGAAATGTCTGGGGTGAAGGAAATCTAGGAGTCCATGCTTAAACTGCTGCTCCCACGATCCAGCCCCAGATAAGCGGAAAAAATGGATGGATGTTGGGAATGCAGTCATATCCATGTAGAAGCAAATACACTTGAGACAAGTTTAAGCTGTTCTGAACTTAAAACCCCAGACTGAAAGGTTCTTGATGGTTAAATGCAGATCTATTAATACTTTAATAAATCTTTTACATTTCTCTCTTTCTCGTTAGTCTTACCTCGATCTGGGTGCCACAGGCGTTGAGGGGCACTATGGCGACTATATGGGTGCTGTTGGAGTTGAGGCTGCAGGCTGTGTTACTGGGATCAGACAGACGCAGATCTTCATAACGGAGTGGAGGCAATGTGGCTTTCTCCACCTCCACAATCATGGAAGACTCCAGACAGGTGACCACTGTGTTCACTAAAATGAGAAAATAAACAACAAAAAAGCCATATGTTTAAATGAGAATTGCTGCTTCTGTCGTTCACGTTCTAGAATTTAGTTGTCCTCCCTCTGAAATTATAAGATAAGGGTCTATAAAACATTTAACCTTATCACTACTATGTGTTAGGTACTGGCTCTACAAATTTGCCATATTAATCTTATGTATTAAAGCTACCATCCATATGTTTATTTGATTGTTTTGTTTCCAGTTTATGCCAGTATATGAACCAAACCTATTACTCTAATCTTTCAGAAGAATTGTAATCACTTACCTACATCTTTTGTAACGTTCACCACCACACATCTCATCTCAGTTTGGAAATCGGAAGATCTGATTACATAAAACATAAAACAAATGACTTGAAAATAGCAAAATAGGCATACTTATTTTCTATTAGGGTTTAAGCCTTTGTAAACAAACAGTCTATCCCTTACCCATTTTTAAATTCAACAGCATAGCAGATTGGAAAATAGTCTCCGATGTCTTCAGAAGTAGGAGTCCATCTGATGGTGAACTCATCTCCAGTGGTTCTGTGCTTGGTGATATTCAGCGGCCCGGTCATTATAAGGTCATGAACTCTGTTTTGGTAAAAAAATTAAAGATTGTTAATATATCAGGTTTAGTTTTAATGTTTTTGCATTTTTGGTTTACTTACTTTGAATAAAGAGCTTCAGCCTTGATTTTTATCTCTACTTCTTTTCCAGCTTCTGCCAGAATGACCTCTCCGTCTGTGGGTGTTGGGGAAACATACTTTGGCAGATAATATCCTTCAGCACAAGTGGGAACAGGTGGGTCCACTGTAATAACACCATAATGTCAGTGTGTTGTGTTTCTGTATTAAAGGCCCTGTACCCGATTTTACCCCCATGTATTTGTACTAAACCCGTCTGGCCCCTCTACAGAGATATTGCATAAGCAGCTCTTGAGGTCAGAATAAGTCAGGTGAGTGCTGTTTACATCCAAATGGAAAGCACGTTATGGCTTGATAATCAGGAAGTGCGCGTTAGCTTTACTGTCATGGCAAAACTGCTCCACTCCACTCTGTTGTGAAAAGCACTTGTTCATGGCGATTAATAATTAGGAGGCTCTGAATGCAGAAGATAAATGGGGAGTAACTTTGGATCACTGCAAAGTGTTTCAAATGAACTGGTTCTGTTTTTCACATTTTTATGAGAATAAAAATCAGGTACAGTGCCTTTAATATATAGATCATGACTATGGCACAACAGTACACAATGTACACAACAATGATACTGACCGAGAACAACAAACTGCATAGGCAGCAAACTGAGCGCAGTCTTCGAGAATGGTAAAGTAGTGGGTGTGGGAGTCGTAGTAGTAGTAGGCGATGGTTGTGCTAGTGGTAATAATACCACCAGTACCACCATGGTATTGCCGTAGTTGTGGCAGGTTTAGTAATGGGTGTGGTAGGGACAGTAGTAGTAGTAGTACGGACAGTAGTCGGATCAGCTCTCTTTCTTCGTGCAATCCATGGATACTTGTAAGACGTGGTTCCATCAGAGTAAGAGAGCATAACATTCTGTCGTGGAAAGTCCTCCACCACCAATTCAAATTCATGGACGCCTTCGATTCCAGAAGCCATATAGTCCAGTGTGCATGTAGCCTACGAAAAGATAAGCAAGGTTCATTCTCAACCTTCCCCAAATAATGATTGCATGTTTATTGAGTCTTCAATGTGTATTTCTGCCTTGTAATATTTTGCACCAAATCGCCGAAAAACTTTGTGTCACTTTGTGTTTGTTGTGTTTAGGCACATCAAGTAGATTCTTCCAACTGAAAATCCTGCTGTACCAGATTATTTTTTAGATACTTTGTAGCTGATGCCATACACATCCCCTGTGGGTGTGCAGCTAACTGGAGGCTCTGCTCTGTCTGAAGTTCTGTTACTTAAATTTGATTTTAAGATGAGCTTTGCTTAAACTCTGTCTGACCAGAAAGAGCTGACTTAGTTGGAACTATAACAGCTGAGTTCATTTTTGCTCTTAAAAAGTCTCTCACATATAAAAGTTTGCAAGCGTTAGCCAGCTGCATTTCAGTAAGTCACTCTCACCTATTTTGTTCATCTTTTCACATTAGTTTCAATGCAAGAAGCTGAATAGAGTACAGTGTAAAAGTTTTTTCCTCTGGACTGGGACTGTTGACCTTTATTGCAACCTAGCACTGAAAGAGGCTTGTTTGAACCTTTACTTTAATTTTGTGAATGGTTATTTAAATTATATATTATATTGGTTATTTAGTGTACCTCTCCTGACGATCTAATAAATGGTGGCTACAACTCTGTGAGAAAATACAAAATGAAATAGTCAAATCTAAAAACAATAATTTTTACTAACCTCATCTAAGTAGAATCCCCCACGTCTTGTACAGCCACCGCATTCTGCAGTCATTTTTTTTCCATATCGACATCGAACAACATCTCTATCAGGGTCAAAGGCTATGGGTTTGTAGGTGCGTCTGCAGTTCTGAGGAACCCTTTAAGAGACAGAAGGATTATTTAATTACTGTATTATCTATTTTGGTGTCTTCATGCCTATTGTTTGTCCATCTTGAATTTCTGAGTAGACAAAGGAGCACAATTAATCTAATCTAAATCTAAAAGTGTATCTACTTTAATAAAAATCACTTAATGTTATTTTATTAAAGGTGCACTTAGGTAACTTTTTTACTGGATGGTTTACCATCTGCTTGATGTTATTGCGTTGCCAAAAATTCCATAATTCCATAATAAGGTTCACTTACTTTTATGGTATTTTAGAAGTACTAAACCTTTGCAAGATGCAAGATTACTTTAATGCATATATACATTTCTACCAAACCAATAACATCATATAGCATTAACTTCCATAGTGCTCCTTTAAACTGTGATACAATTTAAAAATCCCAATAAGAATGTGCTGTGTATTTATAGTAATACAGATCACCTCTGTGTCTTGGCGTCTGTGTAAAAACTCTTTTTATTCCCCTAAATTCCTGCCAACTGCCCATTATCATTTGTAAAGCTAAACAATGTTAATCTTTCACTTACCGCAGAAAAGGGAGAACGGCAATATCAGGGGAGTTATTTGGCTTCTTAGTGTCTGATCTTTTGCCCAAATCCACATTTGACAGTACACTCCACTCTGGAGATGTAAAATTGGGGTACTCATAGATCCAACAGCAGCTGTATTCCCTGCAAATACAGTAATATTCACTAATCCAACATCTGTATTAATGGTAATGTCTGTTATCATAGACTTAGATACACAAATATCTGCACAAATACAGAAAAATGGCCTACCTGGTTTGGAAGGGTTTATCGCTAGAGAGGGCCTGGGTAACAACTGTTTCTGTTTGACACCACCCATTTGAAAGTGGGGGGCCATTGTCGCTGGTGTCAATTACACCCATGTCTATTTGGTCATTGATCCCACAGCTGTTCAAGTTACCATAACAAGTTCCATATTGGTATTGACATGAGTGGAATGTTGCCTTGTTCCTGAGTTCCACCTGCCAAAAACATGAAAACATTTATTTCATGTTGAGTTCGATTACATTCACTAAAGGATGGTAGTAGCTTCGGTGGTTCTATAATCTATAGAGGTTGTGGTATTATTTTACATTTTCATTGTGTCTTTGTAAGAGGCAATTTCTTCAGAGAACATGTTTGTGAAATTTGGTGATTAGGTGGTTATCATTGGAGTTGTGGGGTTAAACTGCTTCTTTCCACAGTTCTAGTTACAAAAAGCAGTTTTTCATCACTGAGAGCATATGATTGTGGGGTGAATGAATGTACCAAATAAAAGCAACTTTGAATATTAAGATAAGCACCAAAAAATGACCATGTTATAAAGGGCTGACTTGATCTCACAGATTACATGCTATGGTCTTATTTAAGATGTAGTACAGTTAGAAGTGTAGATACCTAAGATTGAACTGGATTTCTTTGTGTTAGTAAATTATAATCTTAAGAAGAAGCCTTACCCCAATCCTCCCATTGCTGAGAGTTTTGTATCTGTAGTTCACAACCCCTCCAAGGAAGTGAGTTGCAGAGGCCAGTGAGAGCCACAGCAGCGGCAGAACGACCAGTGTAGTGGAGAACATGATGCCGACAGCTGTCAGTCTTTACTTCAGCATCATTTATACGTTTCACTGCTTTGGGATGTATTGTATCAAAACAATGGGAGAGCTGCAAAACTAGTCTGAAAGAATAAAGGAATTAAACCTGGTTAATTTTATAGTACGCCTCAGTCTGACGAGTTTCTAAAGTGGCCTTCATGTCAGTCTTTAACTCACGTGGACTGATCATTAATGAGCTAAATATATATTGTACCTAGTAATTTGAACCCTTTCCTTTCAAATTAATCAAACCAGTTTTTGCAGCTGTCCCGTGCCAATGTGATTTTAGTCCCAGAGAAGGCATTCTTTAATGATTCAGCATCGTCTGATCAATGCTGTTTAGTAGAGTTATGTTTTTTCTTTGTTCTGAACACTGGCTGGATGCAGGTAGACTGTTTAGTTTAATTTATGTGAAAACTGCTGTTAGCTTTGTGCAAGAATGGTTTACCTGCTCTGAATGCACTTCTCTTCTACTTTGATATTTACAAATTACTGTAGATGTTAAAATTATACACTGGCTATATTCACAGACTTAAATCTGATTATTACCTGATTTCTGGATCTTAAAGGTTATGTAAACACCATGCAAACTTCAAATTCATATGTGAGTAATCAGAGGGACCATGATTAGGAAGAAATCTGATGACTTTGCTCTGCTTATAACTCAAAATATCTGATGATAACCTGACTTGAGTGTGCATTTAACCGCAGCCATTGATAACCACATAATAACAAAATAATAATAAATGCCAACTTTAATTGAGACTTTATTTGAATTTAGTATTTGAGACACTGTTTTCCATCATGATGCTTGTTTGTTTTATATAATGAAGTACAATTATATGGAAATAGGGTTGCCAAAAGTATCAGAAAGAAATTAGATACTGATCAATACTAAAACTAGTATCAAAACTAAATTCTCATTGGAGCAGGCATCGATACTAAAACGTCACATTCACAGGACAGAAATGCACCTTTCCTGAATAGCTTTAGAATGATCTTGAATATAAGCTCACATAGGCTAGTATACACCCATGGACCACTGGACCATATGGTAATATAAAAGAAAGTACTCTGATTTAATTTAGAAAATCACATTCTATTATGTAGAAAGAAATACTGTTTTAAATACAGTGTATCATTCTGGTATCAGAATCAGTATCAGTATTGACTATTGACTCTATTCCTTAGTATTGAAATTGAGTTTGAAATCGTAGTACAGCAACAACACAATGTAATAGACCAAGTAGCCGTTTAATAAATTGTAGAATAGCTTATACTGTGCTGATGTTAGTCTCTTGCAGCTTGCATGGCCAGGTATTTATCCCTTGCTTTCGTCAGCTGGTAAACGGCCAGTGAAAAGACAAAGAAGTGATTATAAACGCCATATTCAAACCTATATTCAGGTTTGAGCCAGACATTTAAAGAAAACCCATGAAAAAACTGACACAAAGGTCAGCATGTTCTCTGTTAGTATAACATTAATGTTATTAATATTTTGCAGCTGACGATTATTATCATCAACATTTCCTGGAAGGCTGAAGCTAACTACAGGCACTGCTGTGTCGGAAGTTCTGTTAATCAAGTTAGACTTTACTCTGAGATTTGTATTAACACAATCTGACCACAATAACATAGCATAAGCTAGCTAATGTTAGTCAGTTAGTCACACTCACCTTTTTGGTGAAAATCAAACACTTAAACAGGACCAAATCCATTTTTTGTTTTTTCTTGGGTTTTCAGATTATCTGAACTTGTTTTGTCAATGTTTGCTAATGTGTGCACTGTGTCCTTGGTATCTGCTAAACATTACCTCATAGACATATATGTATTAGACCCCCAGAGTGATGTCACTGCAAAGTATATACTTAGTATCTGGTGAGAACTGAGAATGTCTTGTACTCGCTTGGACTTGTGCTGGCAGATGGTTTGATGATATGCACTGGACACTGAGACAATGGAGTGTCTATTGTTCTCAGAGTTTCTCTTCTTCGCCGTGTGTTTGGAGAAGTGATGCAGCCCTCAGAGCACCTAGTCCCAGGGAAGTCCATCGCTCACAAGAGCACAAGGCACGTGATATACACCTGCACCATAAGAACATTTAATAACCTTTATGTGGATAAATTAATGTTTAGACTGCTGCAGAGAGCTTCCTGGTTACCTGGGCCTGTGGGCAAAGCAAGCTGTGTGGTATACCTAACATAAAGAAGGGTTCGAATAGTGTCTGCGAGAGATCACAAGATTACTCAAACATACATGAATAAGATAATTCATAAAACCACTTCAGGCATGTTTTTGATGAGAGAACAACATTATAACATGGTAGAAAGCTCAGAAGAGATGATTTAGCATAATACCCCTTCTTTTTAAAAAAAAAAAAAAAAAAAAAAGCATTTTACTAATACTGTTTGGTAACAGTATGATAAATATGGCAGGTTATGGACCCAATAGCACTGCTGTAGATTTCCACATATTCATCAATGAGACATCTATAAAATATAATATATTAGTAAGGGTCTAGCCAGACTGCACATGTCAGTGTTGTCACCTTGCAAAGCCACAGCTGCATGTCAACGTGAGTGCGGCCACACCGGCAGCACCAGCAGGACATACACGTGCAGCACTGGCTCTGTGTTTCGCCATGGGAAAGCCGATCAGACTTGACTGGGCGTGTTTCGCCACTTGTATCAAGTGTACAGTCAAAACAACTGACTGAATAGGCTTATATTTGTCATCGAGGATTTATGACAGTCTTTCTGGACCTGGGCTTTTTCAAACGATACATAACTGGAACACACTGTGCTCATGGTAAATGTACAAATACAACAATAGATGCATTCTCTCTGGGGATACTACGCTCACATAGAGTGTCAAAAAATAGGTTGGATCCTATTTTCTGAAATCTACACATGTAGGACATGCTGCTCCATACGCACAAATAGCACAGGCAGTGTGGCTATCCTTATTCGCGTTTAATGCATTCTATTCTAATGCATTTAAGGTTGCGTAGAGCAAAATACGGATGCAGTGTGGTCAGGCCTTAAAACAGCATTAGATTTAAGATTTCATACACTTTTATTTTGTTAAATCAATGTTTAAACTTTTTGAAAAATGTGTTTTTTGCCAGGAGTACACCAGGACTGGACTAGATCTAAACCAGGACTGAACCAGGACTTAACCAGGACTTACCCAGGGCTAAACTAGGTCTAAACCAGGACTGGACCAGATCTAAACCAGGACTGAACCAGGACTTAACCTGGGGCTAAACTAGGTCTAAACCAGGACTAAACCAGGAGTGCAGCCGCTGAGCCGATCGCCTCTGCTGGTGGTTTTATGTAATAAATACACTAAAGTCAGTCTCTCAGCCTGGTCCATCGTTCCGGGAAAAAAAAGAGAAATGGCACTTGTTTCCAGGGCAATGGACGTCCTGGATGCGCGTCAAGTATTTTTCTCCCGTTCATCATTTGATTCACCTGACCCGCCCGTATATAATCACTACCCGCCCGCACACCCACCCGTAAAATAGAACGTTAAAACCCACCCGTTTCAGCAACTATTTGCGGGTACCCGACCCGGTGTAGGGCTCTGATATTAATCTATCAAATGCACCTTGAAAAGACTAGTTTACTCACCCATTCTCAATAATTCTGTAGATGTCTCTGGCGTTTAAATCCCCATAAGGAGTGGATTCACAGGTCTTAACAAACAGCTCAGTTTTGGGGACATTGGATGTTACTCCAATTTGCATGTACATCATTTGTCTGATGGATACTTCCAGCGGCTTGTGGTTAATTCTATTTGTGTATTCTGCAGTCTCAAAGAAATCAAATGTAAAAGAGAAACTCCCAAAGCCTTTTTCTGTGAAAGTGTAAATGTTTTTGTGCCTGAAGCCCAGTGACAGGTTGTTTCTCTTGGGACAAGTGCATGCAAATGAGATTTCCACATCCAAATGTTTACAGATAGTGCTACTGGGGACTTCATTTGTAATCTTATTTTTTAAAATGATGTTGTCCTCATCCACCTGTAAATTCATAGAAAAGTTTGACATCAGTTTAACCATAGACTGTATAAAGAAGTGGACTAAGTGAGTGTGGCGTCACCCATAGTATTCTGCTAGCAGTTATAGGGGCAAATTTGGAGCCAGTTCCATATTTGAAAATATGACTGTGAGTGTTGTAGCAACCAATGAGCGAATTCAGAGCCAGACTCCTTCAATGTTCCTGGGGCTGTTCTGGCCATTTAAGACATTCTTTGATTTGATTTTTGAAAGCTAAAATACTGCCAGTGAGTTTTGTGAATGTACCTTGATATTGGTTCTAATCAATCAACAGGGCCGTGGCAGCCATGAGGTGAGTGCTGTTGGACTGGATGGACAGGTCACAGGCTGGGTCTCTGAAGGCAATCAGATGGAGCTGACTGTAGAAGCGGTTGATGTAGTGTGACCACCGTATTTCAACCATCATATTCGTCTCATTGCAGGTCACAGTAAAGCCTTAATGACACCAGAGCAAATCGCCCATGTTAGTACCAGGTATTTAATTGACTGAACCTTTTATACATTTGCTTTTATACACTTTTGACGGCTACAGATTTTCTTGAAAAAGAATTGTTATTTGTTGTTCTGATGATTGTTGATGATAAATCTTAAAGTAAGCAAATAAAGGCCAATTTATGGTCCAGTGTCAAATCGTCTGCATCACAAAGCAGAGAATCTGCGTCACGATGCAGAGCCTCTGCGCAGGGGGAGCGACGCAGATGATAAGGGCTGTGATTGGTCCTCCCTACTGCCGCACTACATACATTTCCTGTACTCGGCTTTCCTTTCTTTCAATATACATAATGTGTTTAATGCAGCTTTGCGCATGTGTGTTTACGTTTTACAGAAACAAAACTTAAAACTGCATGACTAATTTGCATAAACTATGCACTTAAAAAACAGTTCCTTGTGCGCTGATGTGGTTCAGCTTCTGTCGGACTTATAAAGGACACAACTCAGTGGAATATGAGTGAATATGGTGAGTCTGTTCTGTGCTTTTATTACTTTAGAGATGGTTCATGTTAAACTTTTCAGAGATTACACATGTGCAGGTCACACGCATAGGTAGTATATATGAATGGGCATATATCCTAGCCCCTTAGCATTTTGGCGGTGAATTACTTCGCGGTGCGTAGACCT